TACAGTGTTTTTCACTCAGTCTGCATTTGTCCATAGTTGATGTATTGGACATTTTCCTATACATCTTTATCATTCTGCCCTCCCTTTCTTTTCTGTACTTCATCCTCCTTGTTCACATTTTCCCATTCCTTGCTCTTTTCTTCATCTCAACATTGGCCTCTTTTATATTCCTTGGCATCATGTAGGCCTTTGCTTGCCATATTAATGGCCTGGGGTTGGTATTCCTTTTCTCAGACTGTTTTCTTCTTTGAGTCCATTCTTGGATGTTTCCTCTTCTCCTACCTCCCTTCCTTTTCTGTGGCTACTCAGACCTATGTCCTTTCTCACACCGATTCAATGTTTCTTACTATTGGATTCTTCTTCTCTTGTCATAACTGAGTTTAGCCTATCTTTTTCACCTGCTAACTATGGCATATCTAGCCATTTCTCATTCTCTTCATACATGAGAGATTCTTTTGCTTCTGGGTATTTTGGCTTTCCTGGTACTCCTAATTCCTTTGGGGAAAGTACTAATGTGTCTCCAACTATGGATCTCAAGGACTCTTGGTTTTCCTTCTTGGGGTCCATTTTCCCTTTTGTAAGCATTTCCTTGGAATATTGCCTTGGTGATTGATTGTGTCCAGACTGCTTCCTGCACTTGCTTACTGCCTCTCACGTAATATCCCTCCCTTCTTTGATGCTTCCACCTCTGTTTGGGTGCATTTCTGTTGAGGAAGGACTTCTGATGTTTCAATACTGGTAATGTTTTCTTCCCATTATTGCTCCTACTTTTGGATCACTTGGTCATGTTCCATTCAGTCTTTTACACAGTTGTTTCTTGCACCAACCATCCATAAGGCTCTTGTTCTGGGCCCTTTTGCTTTTGGTTGTTAGAAATACAACTCTGGGCCCATTCACATCAGGTTGATCTTCTTGTCTACCATATTCTGAGAGCTTTTATTGATGACTGAATACCTCTCTTGGCCAATCCACATTATATCGATGTAGTGGTATCTATATCTCATGCCCTTCTTGGATATACTTACCACCTTTTACAACCTATTCTACCTTTTGATTTTCTCAGCCTGGCCTGGTATGACCATTTTCTATATCCCCATTCCCCTGTTCATCTACTCCCTCTGGCCCTCATTACTTTTCTTCGTGAGTTTCATTGTTGGTGCCTTTTTCTATCAGTGATTATGATAGGTTTTTTGTCAGTGATCTTTCTGCCACTCCTTTCCTTCTGCTAGTCATCTTGTGACCACTTTTTTCCTTGACTGTTCATTGGTTTGTTGGTCTGTTCCTCTGCTAGTTGTTGGGAGGCCTTGTCTATGGATTTTTTCCTTTCTTGGTTCCACAAGACGTTCTTCTCCTGTCCTCTCCACTCTGTTCCTCTCCTTTTTTCTCTTTCCTCATCATCCTGCTTCCATGCCTTGCTGAGTAATTAATGAGACTTGCATGATCTGGTGCATGCCCTATTCAAACCCTTGTTTTTATGTCTTTCCTACCATCTCATTATCTTGGTTTGTTTCAACTGCCTATCCTATGATTGCTTCTTGCACTCTCTTCTACCACACTTCTATATCCCTTTCCCCACTTTGATCCTTCTTTCCTATCTCTCTTCCTTCTGTCTCTTGTCTATTGAACCATTTGGATCTGGTTGGCTCTCATGACTGTTGTGCTATACAGTATGCCTAATCATGGACCTCCCATTCTCCACAATCATATTCCTTTTCATCTTACTGGTTGGGTCTGTTACCTTCTTTGGTTGGCATGTTTGTCTTTCAGAGCCCCTTTTGTGTTCATAGGAATCTGCCAGTTGGCTGGTGGTGCTTCCCAGGGTATACTTATTTCCCAAAATATGCATCAAGCCAGGACAACAAAAAGTGCTTATAACACCTACCCTTACTCCTTATATGCCCACTGTGAGATGGAGTGTTCTCATGATATATCTATATATTTTCCTTTTTGTTTGGTCTAGACTGTACCTATTTCATGGACTATCATGGAAAAAGCCACCACCAGGGATGTTTTCTGCAGGCTTCCCTGGCTTGTGCTTGCTGGCTTTTCAAAATATTAGGGCGTCAAGAAATTAGTCACTTTTTTTAGATGAAAAAACAGAAGAACTTGTATATCAAAACAAAACATTTATTGAATGAAATAGTCTCCATTTTTATCGATGATGCTTTTCCATCTTACAAACTGGATGTTAATGCCATGATTAAAGAAATCACTTGGCTTTGAAGGAAAAAACATGTGCATATATTTTCCCATTAAGATGGTGTTGCAGCAAACATGTGGTGGGTGGGGGAGAACTTCCCAACCCAACTCCATAATCTTGGAGACCAGGTTTTGGGGTCAGAAGCGGTTTTTATGTAGGGCTGAGCCATTGTTTTTGGTATTTAATATTTGCATAGAGAATCCATTTTTCATCATTGGTGACAATTCTGTCCAAAAATGGTTCACGAGCATTATGCGCCAGAAGAGATGAAGCAACGTTCACACGTTGGAAATGATGATCATCAGAGAGTTTATGAAGCACCCAAACACCTTCTTTATGGAGTTTTCCCATAATATTTAGATGTTCATGTATTGTTTCATGAGAGACGTGCAGTTTCAGGGCCATTTCATGAGTGTGTTTCCTTGGGTTAGACTCAACAAGCATCTTCAGAGCATCAATATCAATTCCAACATGTCAGCCCATTCCATCACAGTTTTTAAGGCTAAAGTCACCTGAACTAAATTTGCAGAACCATCATTGACACTTATGAACATTCAAAACAATTCCATAAACTTCTTTGATATTCTTTGTGGCTACGGAGGTGTTGTTTCCCTTCTTGTATTCAAACAGCATTACATGTTGAATGTGTGTCTCATCGTTTAGTATCACTATAAGGGATTAGAGTATACAAAACTTTACACATTATATAGGCTACACTAACGTGACATTTAGGAGGTTCGTTTAACTATTATATGTGACATACATTTTTTAAGTATAAATAGATGTATACTGTTACAAGTTTAAATCTAGTTAGGATAATCAAATGTAGTTTCGTTTTACAATTTTAAGTCATTCTAGAAAAAAAAAGGATAATTTAGTTAATTTATTTTTTTGGTATTGATATAAGGCAAAAAATAGAAAACTCAACACTAATGAATTATAATAGAACAGGTTCTGCTCCTCAGAAAAAAAAACTTTTGTGGTTTGAAAGCATGCTGGTCCTCTCAATGAGTCTAGTACAGATTAGATAAGAAAAGTGCTTGCTCTAGCCTCTTTTTTTATTTCCCTCAAATATTAGTATTGGAAGGCTATTAGCTACAAAACATCAACCAAAGTGTGTGTAAGAGTTATATCTAGGCTACTTGGAAGATGACCAGCCTTGTATAGAGTTATCACAGAGAAAATAATATAAAATATAAAGTTTTACTGAAATAAAGCATATGAAATGTATTTAGGAGGTTTTAGAGATCATGCAAATGACATCTGAGATTTTTGAGGTGAAGAAAATCATTTTTATTCTTAACTTAAAAAGACTATATATTCAAGAACAAATCTTTAGTAAAAATTCGCCATTGAAAAACTGATTTTTTTGTATAAATGACTTGTAATCTATATAGCAAAAACGGCTCACAACACCACCATATTTGTAATTTGACTGACCTCATAACCACCAAAAAAAAAATCGAAATAAACCTAAATTAACCTTTTTTTCTTTCTAGAAGGACTTCAAATTGTAACATGAAACTACATTCGTTTATCCTAAGTAGCTCTAAGTTCGTAATATTGTACATCTGTTTATAATTACATTTTATTGCCCTTTGAACCGTGTCTAACTACTATCCGTGCCATTATAGGTTGTAAATCACTCGGGGACGTGCAGCTCATATTATGCTGTCGAATTACATTACCCACCAGCTGCTGGCGTGCGTGCTTCGTGAACCATTTTAATTATATTATTATTATATCTAATCTAGTCGTAAATAACTTAAAAAGATCCGTATTTTTAATTTAATTACTTTTATAATAATAAATAAATAAAGTATAAATATGAAAAATAAGAAATAAAGTACTTACCCAATCTTCTTTTTTCTTGCTCTTGATTATTGAGGAGAGTTAAGCCTGATTTTTTATAGTAAAGCACTTAACAATTTTTATTTAATTAAATAATTCACCAAATAATATATACTAATAACATGCAAAACGTATACAAACTCACTTACCTATCAAAATTTTCCTGGCTTTCTAACTATGCGACAAGAGCCATTACTACTTCATCTAACCTAGTTAACTTTCACACGGGAATGATGTTGCTACTCTGAGTGAAATTGACAATTAACTGTTCAGCACACAATGTTATACAATACGTCATTTGATAGCTGAAAACCTTGACGTTTTGTTGGTTGTAGGTAATCTATAATGAAACGTAAGAGAGGAATATCAACAAATTGTGAAAGAAATGATGTGACAGGTGGGTGTGGCAGGAGGGGTCTGATTTTCTATTTGATAGCTCTGAAACCAAACAAAATTGAAGGCTATAAAAATTATGGTTTGTTTGAGCACTAATGATTTTATAGAGAGTATTTTATGTTTAATTTCGTACAATTTCAAGGGGTGATGGATAAAATAGGGATGATGACATGCTAAGACAAAATGTGTCACGTGGGTCACAGCTAGTAGAAATTCAGGATTTTTTATATATTTTCTTGTAGAATTAAGAAATTAAAACTTGTATAACTATTAGAATATGGATTATTAAGTAAGATTTAATGCTATTCTAATTGGCATAACATAAGCATAAAGAAGTTAAATGCAATTTTGAATGTAAGACACTAAAACCTTGTGTCATGTGCAAGAGAGGGTTAATTAAGAACAAGTACTTCAAATATGAAGAAAAAAGCTACAGGTTATGTTAGTGCTAAAAGAGCTTTAGGTAAATTATAAAAATATAATATTTATTCTAGTTTAAAACAAACAAAAACACATGCTTTTTCTTCAGACTAATCTTAACCTTATGTTTCAGAATGTGACAGTCTTAAGTTCCTCAGTTCTTCAGCAACGGATGGAGGAAAATGAACGTCAACGACAGATTTCCCATTCAACAGAAGATCCTGGATTATCACAGTACTTAGAAGATGAACGCATTGCTATTTTCTTACAGAATGAAGAGTTTATGCAGGAACTAAGACACAATAAGGAATTCATGTCCACCTTAGAAAGAGGTATGATTCTGCTTAAATTAATAAAATGATTTTAAAACTCGTGATAAATTTATTTTTTGTAAAATGTTTCATGTCTGCACTTGATTACTTAATACAGGGTAGATATCTTAGACATGCAGTTTTTATGAAATAGATGAAAAGTAAATTCTGCATATGTGAAGGAGAAAGATATCTTAGGAAAAATAGAAAAACTTAACTTTTTAAAGTCCATGATAGTAATGAATTATAACAGAACAGGTTCTGCTCCTCAGCCTGCCTGTCATCTTCAGCTCTGTTCCTACAAATGTGGTTTATTTGTTGTTGGGATCTTTGTTTCAATGCCATATTGTCCCAGACCTGTCTCCAAGCTCCACATGTACGGGACCTTCGCGTGACCCTATTTTTATGATGTTTCGCATTTAACATGATTTCTGAGTCCTTGGAGTCGCCTGTGGCTTCGGTCCAACAACAGTCCACCCTTTTCAATCTTGTGGCCCATTTGCTTCAGTCGGAGTTTGGTGGGCACCAATTCCTTTTTCTGACCTTCCCCTTCCCAGCTGTTGCCTGTTCCTCCTCCCCTCAGTGCCACTGTTCACTGTTTTGCACAGTAATGCATGGTACACCAATTACAGTTCCGGTGACTACCTGGTGGGAGTTCGTCTGGCAAATTTCATTCATAGGTGTAGCATTTTATCAAAGGGATTTGTCATACCTGTTTGTGTACCTGTTTTCTTTCCTTCTCCATGGGGTTCCTTGTCATGCCAGCATCTGTTCGAGGCAGTACACGACCTCCTCACATAAAAGGCTATAGAACCTGGTCCATGCAGTTTGCAGGGTTTTACTCCCACCTGTTTGTAGTTCCCAAACAGTCTTAGGACTGGAGGCCGGTAATCGACCTGTCCTGCCTCATTCAATATGTTCACACTCCACCATGGAATTTTATCTTACTCTTTGGTGGGCTTTTTCTCAGGGTCTTTGGATGACTGAAATGGATGTCTCCAATGCTTGTGTGCATTTTCCCATATCAGAGCATTCTCATCCTTATCTTCGGTTTGTCCATTTTAGGGTGATATACCAATTTTATGCCCTACCCTTTGGGTTGGCTTCGGCTCCGTACTCTTTCTGTCGGATGGTGTGTACCTTTGTTCTCTATCTTCATGCCTTGGGGTGATGCTTTCACTTTTACATGCTCATTCTGAATGGGAATTGGCTTGTCATACTCATCAGCTCCTTCTCGAGGCTGCGCAGGTGGGCTGGTTGATCAAATTGGAGTTGTCATTTATTCATCCTACCCAGTAACTTGTTCATCTGGGTGTTTTCTTCAACACCCATCTCAGTCAGGCCCAACTTTCTTCTTTTTGGCTCCATTCTATGGAACTGGCTATTTTGAAAGCCCATTCTACTTTTTCACTTTCTGCTCACAAGGTTCTATCACTTTTGGGGATCTGGTTGTCTATGACACCTCTCATACCCCTCATCTGGGCTCGTATACAACCCTTTCAGTGGGTTCTCCACGACCAGTGGATCCTTACTCAGGATCCCTTGGATGCTCCTATAACCCTACATTGTGAATGATCTCTAATTGTATATTGGAGAAGTCTCATACATTGGCTGGTGTCCTGCTTCCTTCTCTGTGGCCAGATACACATATGTCCACAGATGCATTCCTTCAGGGCTGGGGTGCAAGAGTCAATCACCTGGAGGCTTTGGATTGTTAGTCTGTCGAGGAATGTTCTTTTCTTATTAATGCTCTTGAACTCTTAGCTATTTTTTGGGCTTTGGATCACTTTCTTTCCATCTCCAGAGGTTGTCTGTTCAAGATCCATTCTGACAATTCAACAGTGGTGGCTCATATCAATCACCAAGGTGGTATCTAGTCATGATCCCTGTGTTTTCAGACATTAGCACTTTCGTTTGATGGTGTGTCATATACCTGGTGCTTTCAACCTAGTGGCAGATCATCTTTCCTGACCCGACTGGGTTTATCTGATGGAGTGGTCTCTTTATCCTCTAATTTTTTGGTAGCTTTGCAATTGGTGAACTCATATCAACACATTTGCCACAACCCTCAATCACCAGTTACCTCAGTTTTGGTTCCTGGTTCCCCATCCTTGGGCTTCGGCTACAGATGCTTTCAGCACCATTAGTGACACCATTTCCTTTATCTATATCCTCCCTTCCAGTTACTCTATCTGGTAGTCTCCCTCATCCATACCACTCCGTGCAGAGTTTTTCTGATTGCTCCTTACTGGCCCACTCAACCATGGTTTTCTTGATTACTCCATCTTCAGTTGTGCCCTCCCGCCCCTCTTCCTTTATTTTCTAACCTCGTTTGTCATCCCCAGTCACAATTCTGCATCCTGCTCTTCGTGTCCTCCATTTTCACGTCTGACTTTGTCCAGTCTATGGCAAAGAGATCTAGTTTCTCATGTGAAGTAGCATCTTATGTAGCTCATTCAGTTTGTCCTTCATCCATGGCTGTGTATCAGGAAAAATGGACTGTTTTTTGCTCTTGGTGCCCTGGTTCAGAGTTTCCCGATTTCTCATCCTATTGTTGCTGGTGTTTCCAATTTTCTTATTTGTCTTTTTGAGAAGGGATCTTTGGTCTTCTCGCATTCGGGTTATCAAGCAGCCCTATCCCATACTTTCCATTTTTGTCATTACTGCAATGTCTTTTTTTTCCCCGATCCTTGCCAAGTTGATCCATCGGCCACCTAGGTGTACAGTGCTTCCACATTGGAACATTAATATGGTTCCCCATCCCCTTACTTTACCTATGTTTGAACCCATTGCCTCCTGCTCCTTGTTTCACCTATCCCTTAAAGCATATATCCTTCTCCTCTTGGCCTGCTGGCATCATTGGTTGAATCTGTTCTCTATCGATGTCACTTGCACACTGTACCAACACATCTATCTTCTCCTTTTTTGAGATCATTCCTTCCTTCCCAAGACCTTGGTGGCTCACAAAGATAATCTCTCCTTTTCTCCCATTTCCCTTCCCATTATTTCTCATTTCTACCCTCATCCTGATCTAGAAAGATTTCTATGCCCAGTGCATGCCCTTTGTTGTTATATTGCCTGCACGGCTTCCTTCCAGGGTTCTTGTTCCTGTTTCTTTATCCCATGGTAACCCTCTTCCTCCAGGATTCTTTCTCCCTTTACCTTTACCAACTGGGTTCATCATATAATCCAGTTGACTTACTCCTCCTTGTCCCCTTCCCAGTGTGTCTTGTTTCAAATTACCTCCCATCAAATCTGGCACTTCACCGTTTCCTTTTCTTCTTGTCTTCATTGGCTTTTGGAGGAGATTCTGCAGTTGGGCATGTGGACCACCTCTCAGACGTTCATCTCCCACTACTTACATCACATTGCGGTGTCAGCTTCCTCAGGGTATCCTTCAGACTTCATTGTGGCTATGACATGAGGTAAGCTTTTATTAATGCTTTCATTTCTTTCAGGGGCCCTTGCTTCGAATTCAACTCTTGGATCCCACTCTCTGGAGAGTGGTGCCTGACCACATATTTTTTACATACACAAACAACTCTGTACTGTATGCCTTGTTGATTCATGTGATCTTTCCATGGCTCTGCATGCTCACCTTGGAGATGGGGTGTTTCACAAAATCACTGGAGTGTGAATAACCTCATGATACTTGCTCCATAAATAGGCCCATCCTGGACCATACCACCCATGGATTGCATGGATAAAGCAAAAAGGGATAATTGCCCATCCCTGCCATGCCTTGATTGAATATATCAGTATGGTCTGCTTTTCAAAATAGGGTTTTGTGATTTCTCATTGCACTGTCTCGTGTGTAGCAGTCCCTCTGGACTTTCCAATGCACTCCCACCTTCTGTCAGTGGAGTATGGGAGTTCTTAACACTTACCAATTTCAAGCCACTAGGGTAGTTGACCATGGAGGTAGCCTGCTGGATGGGTTCCACACAGATGACTATATCTATTCAGTTCAGAGTAGGGTGGGGGTGTTCTGCTGGTGTAGAAGATGTAATATCCTCTGGATTGAGTGACACATACCATGGAGTGATGTGTCTCAATGCAGTTCACCTTTTCGATTGGGTGCCCTTATCCTACCCTCGTGCGTATGTTGGTATCTTGCTGGCTGGTTTTATATATATTGAGTGAACCAATTGACATAAGTCCTCACACCAGTTTGGGGTTGTTCATCTTCCTCCCTTGATTCCTTCTTCTGTGTAGTGGGTTGCAGTGGGTATACATGGGATATTTCTATTTCTGTCCTGGGCACTCCCTCATTCTCTCTTGCAATGAGAATGCAATTGACCTTTGGACGTTTCAGACCAGTCTTGTAGTCGCGGGAGTTGATTGCATGCAATTAACTTACCTCAGGTACTGGATGACACATTCCAGGATTCCTAGCTCAATGCTAGTCCTGTGTTGTGCCTTGGAGGTGGTGCTTTCCTCACAGTCAAGATTCTGGAGTTTGAGGTGAAGATGGTATGACCTCATTCTGCCCTCATGAGGATGTCAGTACCCAGCAAGGAGGTTTTGGATGTAGTTGACTTACTGAGTATGGTCTGCTGTGCCCTAGCCATTCTACATCATGGGATGCATCCTCCATTATCTACTTCCCTTGTGTGGGATTGAGTGTCTGTATATATCCAGTTGGGATCACATTCCTGACTTATCCTCTCCCACTTGGATGTGCTCCATTCCTTTTACATCATGTTTGATCATAGCTGTTCATGTCAAAGAGATACCTGGTTCAGAAGTGGTGTGGTGCCACTCCTCAGATCACAGGATTTGGTTCTCTCATCTATGGAAGTATCCTTCGGATGCTTTTGGGGGGTATGTCTGTTCTTCCTTTGCATCAGTCCCTCCTCCTTTTCAATGTGGGATTCTAGCTAATATTGTGAGTGGAAGAAAATACCATATCGGAAGTTATAATTTTTCTATACTGAAAATGTATTTCTGATAGGTGCTTTCCTCTTCTCACACTTCTACCCTTATCTCCACAATCTTCCGGTGCTTACGTCATCTGCCAA